CCACGAAAACAAAGCAAACAAGAAAAGCCACAGAAATCTGTGTGGAATATTAATAACGGAGCCAAACTTTCAAAAGAGAGAGAGGAAAAAAAAACGGAAGGGCAAATGTAACTTACAGAGCAATGTGAAGTTGAAGTTCAAAAGGGAAACATCCAACCACATGTAGACACAGAGATTTCAATGTCATCAATTTCCTGTAACACTTGGGCTTACTTATTGCTTTATTTTAAAAATGTGGAAAGCTGGAAGCAAAACTTTGCAATCTCAAGAAGTAGGTAGGGCAGGGAAGGGAGGGATTTGAGAGAATTTTGAAAAGACCTTGCAAAGTTCTAATTAATTAAACACTCCGGAGGGCTCATTCTGTCTTTTCCAACAGGGTTATGGAGGTCAAGGTGCTTGGCAAGAATGTTCGGTGGTAGTTATTTGTGCTGGCCAAGGTGAAATCAACAGCTAATTCAGTGTTTGTGAGCCATCTTTCTTTGTTTTTAAAGTAAAATTAGAATCACTTTTTAAAGTGATTTTAGTAATTTACTTTTTGTTTTTAAAGTAAAATTAAAATCACAGAAGCCAAATTTGAAATGATACAAACATACTCCTCTTGAAGTAAATATCTGGACATGGGCCCATGAAGATCAGAAATGGAATATTGTATTATATAAATGGCAAAAAATAAGATAGTCTTTATTTTAATATGCCAATTTCAGATCTACAAGGCAAAAGCCCACACAGTGAAGGCTTCACTCCTACTGACTTAGAATGGATGAATCATATCTAAGTGGGTGAATTTTTCATACTAGAATTAAGTCCTGTCCTTGATGAAAATGGCTCACATACCTTCATATTGTTTGGGGGTCACCTAGTTCAAAGTCCTCAGATCACAAATGTTCCAGTTTAGTGTATCATAGAAAATATCATTTGCTCCTCCCCCCTTTGATAATGTATCTGGGTACCTGGTATTTATCACTTAATATCAAAGTTCAACTATATTTCACAAGTCCATATCTACATACAGGTTGAGCATCCCTAATCTGAAAATTCAAAATCCAAAATTCAAAACTTTTTGTGCACTGATATGACGTTACAAATGGAAAATTCCACACTTAATCTCATGTGATGAGTTGCAGTCAAAACTTTGTTTTATATACAAAAGTATTAAAAATATTGTATAAATTATCTTCAGGCAATGTTTATAAGGTATATATGAACAATAAATGAATTTCATGTATTAGACTTGGGCCCATCCCCAAGATATCTCATTATATATATATAAATATTCCAAAATCTGAAAAAACTCAAAATCCAAAATAACTCTGGTCTCAAGCATTTTAGATAAGGGATACTCAATGTGTACTAGCTCAGAGGAAGGCCTTAACAGGTTGGTTCAGTACTATTATTTCAGAAAGCATTTCTAAATGCCTTTTTTGTAATATATGTAGATCCCACATATTAAACAGAACTAAACAAATTCATATATTGAGACAGAGCCATCTGTTTTGGACTTTCATATTCTTTCAAAGTTTGAAACTGAAGAATCCCTTCTCTAAGAATCCCTAAGTCTTGTTCTCAAGCTACAAATCCAAACGTAAGGTTAAATGCTTGTGCTGGGCTTTGGCCCTGGGACACTGTTTCTTGGATAAATGAACAATCTCTTCATCTCAATCTTTTGTTCAATAGCTGCCAGAAATGACCTAACTCAATGCTTATGTGTTCCAGCTACTGCAACTGTGCAAGTGTCTTATCCGATAATAATTTATACTGCAGGCAGATATAATTTGAACTCACTGGGTCAAACAATTCTCAGGGGTATCTGGCTCTCTAATTTTCTTAAAACAGAAATTTCTAACAGAAAGAAATGTCAACTTGGGCATTCAACCTTAAAAATTTAAAAATCTAAAAAAAGGATAGCATTGCCAGAAACCTTTAAATTACTATTACAAAGATGACCTGTAGACATTCGCAATTAGTTTTTGCTTGCTTATACAATCTTGGAGAAGATGAATCATCTCCAGGGAACATGAAGGTTTCTTTAACATTGCTTAAGAATTTCAATGAGAGTGGACTTCATGAGCCTGAAGATAATTACTTGGCTTAAGTTTACCACCTATAGATAGACGCTTCCCAAATCTTTATCTCTAGCTTGGGATTCTTATGTTGTTGATAGAATCATCAAGATATTCTCAATTTACCTCAAATCCAATGTCCGCAGTATTGGCACTAGAACTACTCATTTTCTGTTACTGTAGAGAGTTTTCCAGTTTATTATTAGTCTTCTCATAAACCCCTGACTTCCAGTTTGCAGAAGTCACTGAAAAGAAGGCCCAGCCTTACAAGAAATACTCATGTTGCATTCCAGAATAGGGCCCAACATAGATCTATGTTCAGCCCTTTCTCCACTCCTCAGACTTCTTTCAACCATTCCCCATATAACACCAATCATGATCCTCACAGGGGTTTTCCAACTCCACTGCATGAAGCCCTGAGGGTTCTTGGAATGTACCACCCTCAATTAGAGCAGCTTCGCTTTGTTTTAAGTATCGAGCATTTCCTGTAAAATTTCATGGAAAAAAACAGAAGGAACTCCAGGATTAAATATGCACACCCTATGAAAAATACTACACTGATGCGATATCTTGTATTGCTGTAAGAAAGAGGAGCTTTGGAAATGGAGCCTCGAGATTGAAAGCCTAAGTTTTCTCCTTTGAACTGAGGAAAGGTTGGACTTGATGATGTCTATAGTTCCTTCTGACTATAGCCTGTGAAGCCTTTAGCCTTTAGATTGTCTCTTGAACCAACTGGATTCGTGGTTCTCCTGGTTTTTCTGTTAACTTTTGCTTCATTCAGATATTCTTATGTATGGTCTCTCCTTATCTATATAAGTTACAACTGAAAGTAGATGCCATCAGGCCAAGCTATTTGCAGGTAACAATGATAAACTCTGCACCGAATACAAAATCAAGTACGTGAAGATGCACTAGAAGGCAACCCAAAGCGGGCATATTTCTATTAATAGGTATTCATCAACACATAAAACAAATGTAATTGTAGGAAGTAATCTGTGTATGAGATAACGGGTGAGATTTGTGAATGTGCTTTGCATGCTGTGAATGTTAGACAAATAAGGAGACCATTACTG